TTGATAGCACTCTGTAGAGTTTCTTGTCCGTACATCTACTGGTAAGCACTTAATTAAGTGAATGACCGCAAGTAGGCTCATGTAGCCTGGTTAGTTCATAAAATAATAGGCTAATAAATCCGGACTAATTGTTGCGATATTTAATGCATTCATTATGACTTTTTTTTAACTGGCACTGTTGAAATAACACGTCATAATATAACTTTTTTATTATTTATATAAAAATTCTCGGATGTTCTGTTCTGATTAAGACAAATCCGCATTTAGGTAATGCTCCTAGATCTTTAAATGCGAAGGACACTCCTTGTGTATCTAATACGTATAGTGGTAGCCTTTCACTACCCTGTTCCATGACTTTATCTACGTATCCGGTGTAAAGTTCTGTGAACTTATTTTCTTGGCACTCTTACATGGGAATTGGGTCCCAGAAAGCGTAACCGAGAACATTATCTATGCATTTATCGTCACTGAATTTACAAACCGTACCTGTTGATAATGTAAATTTATTATTATCTAGCGATATTGTTTCCCAGTGTTCTTGCAATGAAATTTTAACATATCCTGTCACAAAAACGTTTTGAAATTCGCCATATGGGTCATTATAGTAGCCTGCATTACTGCATTCACCTGTGCTACCAGCTGATTCTGCGAAAGTTGTAGCGTGTACTACTGAATTATTCACTAGTAATGACTAAAAGAGGCGATCTCCTATAGATATTGATCTGTGTACGTGCATTTTTTCGCATTCGTCTCTTGATGTTTCGCGTAGGTATTTTATTTTTCCTAATCCAACTTCCATATTATGATTATTATAGCTGCTCTTAGCGTCCCTATCTATTTCTATTGTGCAATAGCGCACTCGGATCGACGAATATTCATTGAGTTGCAATAATGATACTTCGATCCGCATAGAATTGACGATTGGTTGTAGCAATTTGCAGTCTGCAATATCTATTAAAGAAAAAGATGTAATATTTGCGAACTTTTGCGCACAATCATAAGCAATGAAGGCCGTCGTCTTGGTGACAAGTTCCAAGAGTAGAAGGCAAATTAGAAGATTCATCATCTGCAAACAATAAATTTAAGTTATTCCTTAATAGATCTTATTCAGAACATGCAATCTGTGCGATTTTTTATTAAATTTTGCGACACGATTATTCATATGGCCTTATGTGCGATATGCGTAAACGGTTCGTTTGTACAATTTTGCTGCGGTTTTTGCCGATCTCAATTCGTACATTTTCGTTGGGCCATATTTCCGAACCAGATATCGACCAGAATATTGGTCATCGAATTTTTTTGATTCCGGGCCACTTAAAAGCGAAACATAGTCGTTTACCTTAATTTCTCTGGGATTGATTTTTTTGTCGTAATAATGTTTTGACTTAATTTTTGCCAGTATAATTTTTTCACGAGCAATTTGGTGCAAAGCATTGAAACGGTTGATTAGTTGTGATATAATCGGCATAAGTAGGTACAAGATCTTCCGGTTCTGGCGGAGTTGCTGATGGTACTCGTGCAACTCTTGCAAACATTCATATGGAGTATAATGCGTCATGTCTACCAGTCTTATAATTGAACATTGCCATTTCTACAAATTCATCCCAATCTTCAAACTTATTTGTAAAAACTTTTAAATATTCGTTTAATAAGGAGTGTTGTCTTTTTTTTTTAATCCGTTTGATTCAGGATGAAAAGCGCTTGTACGAAATTGTTTAATACGAAATCTTTTTACAACTCTTTTCATTAATTTTGACAAAAAATTTTGCCCGCAATCGGTAAGCATGCCGTTTGGTGCTCCGAAAACACAGACTACGCGTTTAATAAAAGCATCTGCTATAGTAATAGCCGTTTGATCAGGTATTGGAATACCTATAGCGAAACGTGTAAACATGCACTGAAATGTTAAACAATAAGGATTATTTAGTTTGGTCGTTGGCATCGGTCCCATAATGTCCATTGCAGTTTTGAAAAATGGTACTAGCGGAGAATCGGTGACGACCATCTTCTGTTTAGTTTATTCACGTACTAATTTTTTTGTTTGGTAATCAACACGTTGTTGTATGAAATGTTGTATGAGTACGTGTATGGGTACAATGTTGTATGAGTATGTCTTCTTTAAGATGTTCCCAGTTCGATTTGTGTCGAATACGATTAAATGTTTTATTAACTCCCGCGTGTCCTCCGACTGCTGAACAATGTGCTTCTTGTATAATCTCTGCTCTCTCATTAGATAGGGGATGTTTTACCTGTTCCTTGCATACTATGACCTTGACATCTAGTTTTCCAAGCTTATCTCGTATACAGATAATAATTTTACTGAATAACACGTTCTCTATGCTTTCACTTTTGGCTAAGCTAAATTGACTATCTTGTTTTCAGCAATAATGTTTCTTAAATTTATGAGTAATGCTTTTAGCATAATAATCATATTCTCGGTGCTTTCTCGTTCTTCGCACCTTAGCGGCATTACTAAGTCATTTCTTTTTCCAACTTTAATTAGTTTAGGATATCTTACTTTTAAATTTTCTATTCTTGGTAATTTATTTACTTCTTTTAAAAGATGAGCTCCTTCATCGAGAGGTTCTCCTTTATCATTGACAAAATACAAATAATTATCTTTTCTCATAAACAATTTTTCGCGACAATAAATGATGTTGCTTTAAGGTAATTTTTTTTCTATTTCATTCTCATTATTTATGATCTCTGTTGCGTTTATCTTAGTTTCGTTTGATTCGTATTCGTCTTCTTCTTTGATGGTTTCTAAACTAGTTTTTAATGGTACACCTGTGCCCTTGCTTTGTACAATTTGCTTTGTATACTTTGCTTTGTGTGGCTCTCACAGTATTCCTCAATAGTTTTACTATGTACGCAAATATCATCGAAGAAGGTTACTACTCCTTTCATTCCTATCGTTAAAAGGTGAATTAATGATAGAAAGACCGACGCGCTTGTTTTCAATCCGAAAGGCGACCTTGTAAACTGGAAAAGGCCTTGGTCGCATTGAAATGCTGTCACCTGCCTGTCCTCCTTTTTAACTAGGCATTGATGATATCCTGAATAAAGGTCAAAGACCGAGTATATTGTGGATCCTCCTAACGCATCTAACTAATCGTTTACATTCGGCACTGGAAAATTGTAATCCGGAATGAGTGTATTTACTGCACGGAAGTCTATTACTGGTCTTTTCTTGATTATGCCTTCAGCATTCCTTTTCTTGTCTACGCAAAATATTGAAGACGAGTAAGGACTAAAAGACCTTTCAATTATACCTTGGTCGAGCATATTTAAAACTTGAGCATCAATTTCTTTTCTTAACTCCGGGGGTTGTCTAAAAGGTTTTATGCGGATAGGTACCTTCGATGTTAATGGAATTTCGTGTTGTAGTAGATTAGTATATCCTAATTTGTCTCCAGGTAAGTGATATCTGTCGTTGAATTTATTTGAAGTTTTTTTTGCCTTTTTTTCAAGATTATGATCATTTAAAGTCAAAATTGTGATCCTTAAATTTTTTTCAAAAATTCGATTGAATAAAACAAAAAAACGGCTTGATCGATTGAATTGAAACTTTGTGGGGTTTTGTGGGCATATTGAATTGTAAAAGACACGCTTAACATTTCTGATTTTCTCGATAGTTCCAACTTAGCGCTTGATTATCTCAGAAGCCACCAAATACTCTTTTTGTCTTGATTTTTCAAATTAATGTAAAGAATAAAAAAAAAAAATTTTTTTTTCAAAAATAGTAGTTCAGTTTTTTGGAAAGTTTATTCAAGATTTCAAAACCTACCTTCATTTTTTTGTGCATTAAGCGGTTGCTGAGATATTGATGGTTAAAGACAAAAAGATCCTTTTCCATTCAAAGTTCGATATATCAGTGAGAGGTGAGGGTATTGAACTTTTCAACAATGCAAATTAAAGCTGAATAAACAAGTTATCCGATCCATATAGTGGCTGAGTTAGAAAATTTTTTTCCAAGTTCGTAGACTAAAAAACAAAACTGAAAAAATTTAATACAAAAATTTTTTTTGGTATTCATGAGCAGAACATGTTGCTTGAAAAATTTTTTGATTATGAGATCTCAAAACTAGAAACTTCAACCTTGAAAACGCTTTTTTTTTAATTCTAGTACGACCATTTTCAAGGGAAATACACCCAGTTAAAAAGCGTCAAAAGTTTTTGAATTTTTTTTGATCCTTTAATTTTTTCCACTAGTCTATAAATTTTAATAATAATAACAGATTTTCATATCGACTCTATCATAATACAATGGAAATATTAAAACTAATTATATAGTGAATACATAACAGAACTTTGTTCATATAACAGAGTAAATAATTAGTGTCTCCTATAAATTATAAAATACTTTAAAATATTATATATTTCTACATACGTACAAACCTTAACTTCCTTGGTGCAGGATGGTTAGATTTTATTGACCGGTACAGATGTTTTATTTTCTTCTGTAGGTGAAAAACAGTATCCTTTTTATTACTATCTATCTATTGGCGATAGTAATAAAATAAAATAGTATTTTAATATTTCAAAGAGACAATCTACGAGGGAAAAAGAGTAAGATAGAGAAAGAATGATATCTGTACTCTAATAATTTGATTTGAGTAGAGTATTACATGAAATAAGTAGATAGTTTATTTTTTGGAAAAGGATGATTTCTCATGTATCGTTGCTTCAAAGCACCTCAATAATGTAGTTGTACAGACTTGTTCGAATATATTATACTTTCACAAACAAAATAAACCATCTACTTCTTCAAGACAATATGCAGTCTATATATATATATAGATTATTATATGTATATACATACCTGAACAACGAATGTCTGATTAGCACTAATATTCTACTTGATTCAGTTGTACACATAATGTATACACGAATATAATTACGACATTACCTCTCTTCTTATATTTTCTGTTTCTTGCTCTCTCTCTCTCTCTCTCTCTCTCTTTAATGTAAGTAATTTTTCACTTCTAACATGATCCTTCTTGGTAAAGGGTTCATCCATCTCATCATCAGATAGAAATAGACTTATGTCTTCTTCCGCTACAGATCTGTAATAAAAAATCTATAATTAAATATTATATAGAGATAATTAATGAGGGAAGAATAAAGAAAGAAAGACAAAGTGAAAAAGCTCATCTAAGATTTTTTCTCAGTGTAAAAATTATTGGGCTCATAAAGACATAAACTTAATACATATTTGAAGCAGACAGGAGATATATGAAAACAAGCTTTAACCCCCCTTACCCCAGCCTGAAAAATGTAATGGACAGTGAAAAAAAATATCATTAAAAATATCTCTAATTGAACCCTCCAAAAATGCTCATTATTTTAATTCAACCCCACTAGTTGTTTCAAAAAAAATTAAAAACTATGATAATTTTTCCGTTGTTTGCAACTGCGATATCTTTAGTAATACTCAATTGCAAAGAAACAAGGCAAAAAATTGAACCCTTGCTCGTTTTAATTGCACCCCTCTTAATTTTGTAAAATAATTAATATGTATGTCAAAAACAACAATCTAATTTTATTTCCGCATGCGCGTTAACCCATCTATTTGGAAAGAACATACAATAAAATTAGATTGTTGTTTTTAAAATATATATTAATAATTTTGAAAAAGTAAGAGGGGTGCAATTATAACGAGCAAGGGTTCAATTTTCATGCCTTTGTGATGTTCGTATCACTTATAAATAATTCGTACTCTCGCATCTAGTTGCGCTAATGAGTAAGATTTCGTTTCTAATAAATCTACTCTACTTGTCAATAAAATACATAGATAAATCAAATATAAGCTAACAATAATAAATTGAAAAATCAAATATATGCGAATATGAATGTGGTTTCCAGGAAAATCAGACTATGCCCTAGTTTCTTATGGTGCGAATTGTCCCATAAGCAGAGCTAAAGTCTTCCTTGGATAGGATATAATTCGGCCCAAGTTTCTTATAGCGCGAGATGTTCTAAAAGTTGAGCTCGAATTATAGGAAAGAAAAAGTCTTGCTCAGTTAATCACAATGAGAGAAAGAACTTAGGTATCAGCCAAGTTTATTCAGACTCATGCGCTCACTTTGCAAGGCTAGAAGTGAATGCTAGCCTGTGCAATAGTGGGCGTATTTATACACAAATTTTCTCGCCAATTTCGCAGGAGCGTTTTCTTCGAGAAGTTTTCGAATATTCGAGAAACATTCGCGAATTTTGAGAAATGAGTTTTCTTAATTTACAAGTAAATAAACATTAATAATGAGCTTTCAACACATGTGAACTTTACAGAATTCGTTATTTGTTGATTTAGTGTAATTTACAATTATCACAAATAGTGTCGTCAAAAGTTATTAACTAATAAAGTTAATTAATGTAATATTACAATATTTACAATAGAAAATTATTAAATTTTTACATAACTTTATAGTTTATTAATTTTAGAAGTGTTTTCTAAAAAGAAATATTCAAATTAGTTAATAACATTTGAATTATAACAAATTTTCATATTTTTAACGTTGTTTCTATAATCTTATAACGCAATTATTAGATTAATTATCTAAGATTTATAAATTATAAAGCTGTCATTATTAAGTATGAAATTAACGTTTTCGTGCTATATACAACTTTGTGACGTCGGGGTCACTCTCAGGTACGCTTGGAGTCAGCGTAAACTCAGGGTTGCTATGATTTGGCTATCGTGTAACACATGAGCCGGGACGAGCAATATTGTTGCGTGGAGAAAACTGTATACTAGCGCGGTATGTAATAACCAAATGTTATTACGATAGAGGCCCATCAAGCGATAACGGCCAAATTTTGTATTGGTGGGAAATTTTCTAATCGTATCTAGGATTTCTTTATTGGTCTGTGGACGTGAATTTTCAGAGAGAGAAAGGGCGCTCCTTTTTTAACTTGGGCCCTTTTCTCCATAGATGGCTCTCGGAGTGCCACTTTTAAGAGCAAGAGTGACGCTATAGTTTATAATTACTTATACAAAATCGTACTAAACTTAGATAGTTTTTACGATACATAGTGATTATTACAATAATTCAATTATTATAAATATTTGGAAAAATCCAAAACTTCTACGATTTATTACAAAATGCATTATTGTTCTAATATACAATTATTTATTAGTCATTTGGTGATTAAAAGATGCGCATTATGTACAATAATAACTTACAAAATTGATAAAATCCATTAAATTAAAATTAAATTAAATTAAAATCCATTAAATATTACGGATATTTTTTTTAAATTCGGTGGGAAAAAAAAGATAAATTGCATTTTTATGGCCCCCTTCTATTATCGGTGTGATAACGCTTCACGAGGTATACGCGATGATCGTAGGCTCCTGTCAACACATCCGCGTGGAACAAAGCAGGATAGAGTGTCTCAGGCTCGGGCCACTATCAAGTTTTATATAAAATTTTTATCTCTAATGCGTTTCCATCGTGGAAAATCAGGAAGATTCCCGCTCCGTTCTTCATATCTATTTCTATTAATTAATATTAAAAAAAACTAAGTTACAGCTGGCCGTCACACCCCCACACTTAAGCGATTGCTAGAGGAGTGCAACGAGGAAGAGCAATCGAACTTTTAATATTATTTATAAGGATCTTGTCGTATCGTGCTGTAATCAAAGTTTTTTTTATCATTATATTTTATATGTTATAATCTCGAAGATCTTGCCCTAACATGGGAGAAACTCAAACGATGGTTTAACTACTTGAGATTGTGATGCTGGAATTGAATTACTCTGGTTATGTTGTGTTATTTCATTTTCTTTTGTATGTAGAGTCGGATATAATTCCTGTCCAGGACCGGTGACAATATTTGCTGGTGATTCTACATCCCTTTTCGCTTTTGTGGGTTTTGGTGTTAAATGTATCAGGAAGATAGTTAAACTATTTCATATGGCCCCAATCAGATGAAAAGACCATCCATAAATGCTATGTAGAGTTATTCCATTAATGAGGACTTCTATTAATTTTTTAATAGTTTGGAGAATTAGTATAATTGCAAGTATACCGGCATTGAAAGTATCAAAGGTTATAAATTTCATCCACATTTTGTTCCAGGTATTAACTACCAACTGCTCCATTACATTCTCGTTCATTAACTTTTCAATTATTCCGTTACTGTCTTTTATGGTGTGTCCTCGAATTTCTCGGGTTACATCATTTATTACTGCAGGTTGTTCCAAAGGGAACAGGATTTTGTTCATTAAATCTTGTAGATACTTTTCTGTATATATTCCGCTGGTGGCTAGTGAGGCCATATTCTGGTATTTCCAGGTTAATCCATAAAAAAGTTTAAGAGTGGTGGGAGTTTTTGTTTCTACTGCTCTTGGTAAAAACTTATACCAGTCATCATTGAAATAAAATATGTGGGTAGTAGAGCATTACAATCAACTACTGTCCCATAAGCTTTCAAAATATGTGTTTTAGGAGATAAGAATTTGGTATGGTTGTTATGGATTACTTTTAGTTCAGCATAACATTCGTCTTCTTGCGATACTTTCACATCAACGGGTATACATTTAACAATGTGCACTATCTCTCCTGCTGTCACAGCCATGTATCCGGGTCCTTTCATGAGATTATAGGCAAACTGATCGGGAGATTGCCTAGCAATTGCAAGTGCATTTTTCAATATTTCTCTTTCTTGCTTACAGCGATGTACATACGACAACATCCTTGTACATACGACTTAATAGTACTTTTATGTGACGTTCTACATGTACAAACTTAGAATTTACATACGCAAATATATCTAGGTTGTTCATTAATGTTTTCTTTCTTAGAAAAAATGCATTATTTTCGACAACATAAACAAATAATTTTGGGTGTTCGGTGACTATAATTTCGTAACCGTATAGATTACGTTTGGATTTGGATATTAACGCGAAAGCAATGTCTTATGTTACTAACGAGTATAAAGTTTGTTCTATTTTACCTTCAATTTGATTAGCTGCTCCTTCATACAATATTTGATACCGATTAAATTTGCACACATCTTTAGGTATACTTTCCCAAAAAGTATATCCTCCTTCAGAATCTATACAATGTTCACTACCTAAAATACATCTAACGCCACTACGTAATATTATTTGGTTATTATATAAGTCGACAGAAGCGATATATTCTTGTAAAGTTACTTTTATTTTAGCTTGGACAACTACGGAACTCCAGCTTCCATAAGCATCGGAATAACTACCATAGGTACATTCTCCATACTGATCTACGCTTCCTGCAAGTATGGCGGGTCTAATTGTGGTTTGATTCACTTTAATATCTCGAAATGCATGTGAATTGTCGAAGTAAAATGTACCGCTTTTATGCAAATCATAACACGTTTGTTGGCTTACATCCATTAAATATTCTATTGCGCCATTCTCTATTATGGAATTGTGTGAATGCATTCCACAATAATAAATAGTTCGGTCTACTTCGACTTTACATTGAATCACTTGTACAGTTTCATAGTTATTTAACTGTAATAATAGAGTGTATTTTCTTGTTACGTTTATTTTTGTAGAAAGCATTTCACATTCTTCCACGTTTGATAAAGTTATAGTGGTTATATTAAGAGATCTTGCTCCGCAGTCGTATCCTATGATGGCTGTAACTGGATTAGTTATTGTTAAGAATATCAGTGATAACAGAGAAGAACGCATCATGTTTTCGGCTCTGTAATCAGAAAATATTTCATTATATGTTCCTTTTGTTCAATTATCTATTGTTTGTTTTATAATATATATATTTTATTTTATGATTTCTATTATCTCATTTTATTTTATATTACATTATATTTTTCCTCTCTCCTTTTTTTTTTATTTTGGCTTGATTTTTTTGGTTGATTTGTTTATATGTGAAATTCGGAGTCTATTTGAATGAACTATTTTTGTGCCCTTTTTAGTCTCTATTTTTACATTATGTTTTGGAAGAATACCAACTATTTTATAAGGTCTTGAGTAATGATCCCCGAATTTCTCCGGTTTAGGTCCTGATTTTAAGAAAACGTAATCACCTAAACTGAAGTCTTTTGGATTTATATGTCTATC